GCCCCGGTGAACCCGGGGCAGCCCCCGACCGGGCCCGGGCGGGGCTGCCAACGGCCGTCCTCCCCTGCCCTGCAGAGAGGTGCCACCATCCCAGTCCCCCTCCCCAGCAGGGAGGTGCCACCTTCGTGTCCCCTTCCCCACAGGGAGCTGCCACCATCTGTCCCCCTGCTTCCCGCAGGGAGCTGCCACCGCTCCTCCATCATCCTACTCCAGGGAACTGCCACCTTTATGTCCCTGTCGTCCCCCTCTACCTCAGGGAGCTGCCACCTTCATGTGTGTATGTCCCAACACACAGAGAGATCTGCCACCATCCCCTGTGAGGGAACTGCCACCGTTTTCCCCCTCCACATGGAAATGCTACCGTCCTCCCACTGTCCCCAAGCACCCTGAAATCCTGCTGGCAGGGGAACAGTGGTGTGTTCCCTGCCACCAGGGTGGGGTGTCCCCCTCTAAAAGCACCCTCAGAGCCCTGTTCTCTCTGGTTCTCCCTCTTGAGCTCTCCAGAGCAGCTAAAACCTTTGCCTCATGAAGCCACCTCTTCACCCTGAACTCCCTTGGACATGTTATCTGCCCTTGGGGGCTGATGATCTCTCTTTATTTTTCCTGGCAGTCCTGGGTCCGGAAGAGGAAGAACTGGTGGCCATGGAGGTGGGTTCACCCCCTCTCCCAAAAAAAAGCGCTCCTGCTGGGCAGCTGGATCAAGCCCCCACCAGGATAGGGACCAAACTGTCTCCTGAGCCGCCCGGGAGCAAACCAGAGCCTCAGGACTCCAAATGTGAGTATTTTGCTCGGCTTTTTGTCATCTCTGACCACTGAGCGCTGTGTTTTTACTGCAAGGAGAGAGCGGGAAGCCAGGCAGGCGTTTGTTTAACTTGATCCGGGAGGATTTTCAGGTCCTTTTGCTTAATTAATCCTCTAATTAAGAGGGTGGATGTGTTGTACTCCGGTATTGCTGGTTTATGTTGCTTTTCTTTCCCCGGCACTAGCAGCTTTCCAAAGCTTGCCAGGACCAACATGTGCTCACTCTCCTCCTTAAACTACCTCAGTCAGTCGTTCCTCTCCTAATTAACAACGTTCCCCTAAAAAGATCGCTTTGAGATCCCTCTCCCTTGCTGGCTGGGCTTCGGAGCCTGCCTGCGGCTCACTGATTGCAGGAGAAGGCTTCCAAAAACACTCTAGAAACCATCCTCAAGCGGGAAAACCGCCCTCCTTCCACCCCAGAGCAGCGATGCTTGTCCTCCCACGGCTCTGCTTGCTCTTCCCTGCTTTATTCCTGCCCATGCAAGGATGTGAGGAGCACCTTAACTTTCAAAATTAGGGTCGGGGGTGGTAAAAATCCCTTGAGGAGGAGAAACAACGTGGCTGGATGCTGCACCCTGTGCTCCCTGCCATGTCTGTGCCTTGATTTTATTTTCTCTCTCTCTTCCCCCCTCCCCGCCCCTTTCTCTTTTTAGCCCAGAACCTTACGACGTGTGAAGTCTGCGGTGCCTGCTTCGAAACCCGCAAAGGCTTATCCAGCCATGCCCGTTCTCACCTACGGCAACTCGGCGTAGCCGAATCGGAGAGCAGCGGGGCTCCCATCGATTTGCTTTATGAACTGATGAAGCAAAAAGGCAAACCCGACGGCAGCCCCCTGTCTCCCACCCTTGGCAAAAAATCCGGTTCCCCCAAAGATGCCACCACCGGTTCCCCTCGACCCACGCTCCTGGCGCTCAGCAAGGCCGGTGATCGCCCGCTGGATGGTCCCGTTAATAAAGCCATCAAATCCCCTCCTGGCTTCTCAAAAAACCTCTCGCAACCGGGATCCCCCATACTTAAGAAGGTGCCGCCTGCTCTTTCGGGGTCTCCGTCTCCGAAAAACCCCGAGGAGAAGAGCTCCAAGCTCTCGCTGAGCCCTCTGCAGAGCTCCCCGAAAGCACAGTGGCCACAGGCGGATGAGGAAGGACCCCTCAATTTAAGTGAGTGTTTTTGGTTCCCCCCCCCCCTAGTATTTCCCGTTCGGCTGAGGGCAGGAGAAATCCCCAGCTTCTCCCATCCTGCTCCTGCCGAGCCAGGCATCTCATCGCTCGGCAGCTGGGAGGGCGCAGAGCTGGCTGGAGGATCCAGCGTTTGGTAATGGCTGTGCTGAGGAGAGATGTGCCGCTCAGTCGTGACTGTCGGAGGGGACGGTCTTCCCTGACTGGGCAAATGGGGATTCCTGTTGGGATTTTGGGAAAACTGCTGACTCTCTGCCCTCTGAGCCCTCCGCATCTCTCTCCCCAACTTTTCTTGCCTCCCTTGGCTCCTCCGGGCCACGGTTTGGCTGGCGTGGAGCACCCTTCTGTGCCACAGCTCAATCCGGCACACCAGCACCCCTCTCCCAACGGGGCGTCGTGGGTTTGCTGGCGTCAGCCTGTTCCCCGCTGCTATTTCCAGCATCGGATGCGCTCAGAGAGGTGCTGCCACGGTTCTTGGGACCATGGCCCTGGCGCTGACACATCCCTCTTTGTCCCCAAGCTCCGTTAGTGAATTATTCCGACATCTTGGGACCAAAATAGTTTTCCCAGCAGCAGCCGGCTCTTGCTGCCTTCTCAACACCATGTGTTGAGCTGTGGATGAAGACATTCCCAGCAAAGGGCTGTTTGGCTTCTCTGGCTCGTTAGTTCTTCATCCTCGTTACCAGACTTGCCCAGCAAGCCTGTCCTACCGCTGGCATCACCAACAGGCACTTCATCTCCGGTGTGGAATCGTGGCGCGTTTGAGGGTCGTTTCCTGCCACAGAGCAGAAGACAGCATTCTAACGTTTGCTGTATCTGCTCCTTCCCTCGTTGCAGGAGCAGCTTTAAGACCTGATATGCCTCAAAATCCCTGTGGCTGGGGATTTCCTAACCCTGCGAGGTTTCTTGGAGCCATAGGGCTATAAAATCACTCCATCCCGGCTACCGTCTTGCTTTTCCTGAGCTGTAAAGCTCCAGGATGGCAGAGCCGGACGCTGGCCGGTAGCAGGATGAATTCTGTAGCTGGAGGATGCGCCCGTGGGTTTGCCGGAGGAGAGATGCTCTCTGGGAGTGCTCCTCCTCTGCTGGTCACACAAGGTGCAAAGTTTGGTCCCAGCTTGTCCTCGCAGTCCTTTAAAGACTTGGAGCAGCAACAGAAAAGCGCTTTGCCCCGTCTCGTAGCCAGCACCATAATTCTTCTTCATTAGGGCTGCCTGCTAACGAAGCTGTAGGAGCCCGATGAACTCTGGGCTGGCTGCTCAGCTTGGAGTGAGCGAAGTCCCCGGTATGCTGTGGGCCGCAGCGGCCAGCAGGTCCCAAGCTGTGGCACAAAGGAATCAGCCGATCTTCTCCCTCGTTCCCCTTTGCCAGCCAGGAAACCGAAGCCGCGGCTGTGCCGGCTGTCAGCTAGGCCTGGTCTGCGTGGCGAG